TGCGTTCTGTCTTCATTCTTTACTGTTCGATCTTCTCGTCTCTCTGCTGCCAGACATTCTGTTCACGACTCACGACATTTACCACTTATGTCTACATAAGTAGCACACACCACAATATCAGACTAATGACAATGGTGGTTGAGTCAATCAATTTTGTGGATTAGTTGAAGTTCAATATTGACACAATTGGATGGCGGCTCAGTGGTCTAGAGGTTAAGTGTTCGCACGCGAAACAGACAGGTCCTGGGTTCAAACCTCACAAGCCGGGATCATGGATGCGCACTGATGAGGAGCCCCATAATAGGACGAAATGGCTGTCCAGTGCTTCCAGGTTTTCCACGATGGACTAAGTCCAACTTACTCATGATCTCAACTATTGAAATTAATATAATATTATACAAGATTAAATTACGTAATGATAACTAAAAGAATGATTACAAAGATTGAATAGTAGCCTAGACTTGTTTTATTGATTTATTCATAAACTATAGTGAGTAGATTTAATTGAACAAATTAATGAAAGATTCTTAGTTTCTTAATTAAATTATAGTATAGGTTTTTATTGATTTAGTAGTTGAATTCATGTGTCAAATGAAGCTAGATCATCATAGAAAACCTAGAAGCATTGTTTCATCCTATTGTGGGACTCTTCATTAGTGCGCATCCACGATCCCACCTCGCGAGATTTGAACCTAGGTTCTATCAGTCTCACGCGCGAATACTTAACCTCCAAACCACAGAGCCAGCATCTAACAGCGTTAATGTCTAACTTCAACCAATCCATAAAGTTGATTTATTATTACAGAATCTATTTTGAAAAATTTATTTTCATCAAAAGGTTTTATATGAATGTATTAGGGAACTTAAAATCTTTGATGTATTCAATAGTAATTTTGTATACAGTATGAAAAAATTTCATATGATCAATGAATGTTTCTCAGCTAAATTTGTTTCTGGAGTAAATGAAAATTTTAAATCAATTAGTCCCTTTGATAAATTTCTATAGTGTAATAAGTAGAAGTAGAAGATTATCAGAACGACCTCGCCCACTTCGAGATTCGAACCCAGGTCGTGGATGCGCACTACTAAGGAGTCTCATAATAGGACGAAATGGCCGTCTAGTGCTTCCAGGTTTTCCATGGTGGTCTAGTTTCAAATGACTCATGATCTTAACCATTGAAATTACTACAATCTCCATAAACCTCTTCTGATAATATTCAAATATTCTTGATGTTTAGTTGCCTGTCTAAATACAATGCAATAATAGTTAGCAAAAATTAGTGTTCTACTATTACAGGACAACTTGAACTTCGAAATACTCAACATTCTTTAAGCCAAGTGATTAATTTCTATATTTTACGGTTGATATTATAAAATGGGTTGATTTAGACAAATGCTGGACACCTATAGGATTCTACAGCAATATCCATGGATGAGCCTACTAGAGAATCATGAACCATACAAGTCTCGCAGCGATATTAATATTTAATGTCAAGTAAAGACTTAAACAACCTCGACAAATCCCTTCTACTATTTTTATTTTATTGAAGATTTTTCAACCTTTTGCTTGTATTTTAAAGGTTTAGCATAAATTTAATTTATATAATAGAAATTTCAAATATCAGTTTCTTTAATAGGCGTTTCCTTTTGAAAATTTTGCTATTATTCTAGCTATTATGACTACCTATCGAATTTCTCAATTACAATATGATCACTGTTAATAATGTGGTGTGTGCTACTGATGTCGATAGATATAAGTAGTATGTATCATCAGTCGAAAATGAAATGCCTGGCGACAGAAGGCTTAGAAGATCGAAGAAAAGAAAATACAAACAGTGAATAATTGTTGTGGAAATGAAGGAACAATGAAGTCAGAGACGATGGATTGACATTTCACAAATGAAGTTTTTACTATATAGTTCTAAGATTTTATTAACATGTTCTGTGCTCAAATACGTTCGACTATCCCTATTTGTGTTCTCGTTCACTACGAGAAGACTTATTTTAGAAAAAAAATAAATTATTGTTTAAGATAACATATATCTAACAAGACATTTTTATGAAGCTTGACAGTAAATAATATATTGAGGTATCAGATATTACTTATTTTACGAAATTATTTACATTGAACACAAGCTGAGTTATATGGTGGTTGAAGATAGTCGACGGGAAACAACAACAGAGTTTACTGTTGACTACCTCCAACCACCATCTAATCTCAACATAGTGCACGCAGTGTCGAGTCATCTAGACTAGTGGCCACATTGCAACTTGGTTGGTTGCATTCGATCTGCATTAATAAGGACTTGACACACATGACATTGATCATCACCCAGTTATCAATCAATTGTGACAAGCTGAGTTATCTTGGTTGAAACATTTATTGTTAAATCTGAAGATTGTGAATTCTCCCCATTGAGGATAGTAAGCGTGCACTACTGAAAAGTTACCAAGTACTATGATAAGACTGATTGATAGTTTTTGATTTCAAGTGCTTCCTCGACTAATATCAACCTATCATAACGTCTATTTTCAAGTTATATTTAATGATTAACAATGATAACTCGTTTTTCTCACAATGACATGCTTAATAAGAAATTTTTGTAGATATTATAGTAATTTTAATAGTTACGATCATGAATCAATTGAAACTAAACCATCATGAAAAACCTAGAAGCATTGAACGGCCGTTTCATCCTATGGTAGAACTCTTCATCAGTGTACATTCACGCTCCTCTTTCTCTCGAGATTCAAATCCAGGACCTATCTGTCACTCGTGATGTATCTATTAACTATATGAACAAATCTCGTATTTAAGTTTTTTAAATAAATAGACTTTCTTTTAAATATTCAATACTTTGTAAATCACTAGAATTTATAAATATAACTATAAATTAAATCTTAATAGAAACATCGAATATAACTATAATATAACAGTTGTTACATATTCAATTATCTCTTGTATACAAATTAACTAATTACTCTATTGACATGTTAATACATAAGTAGGCTAACTAGTGTTAAATGAAACAATTAAGGAAATAAATTTATATTTCTAAGAATAAGAGAAAAACGAACAAAAAAAATACCATGTTCACATTGGTTATTTAAAAGAAAAAAGAAAAAAAGAGAAAAAAGAGAGAAAAATGTGGAATGAGGTAATAAAAAGTAGGAGAACAAAAAAAGGTTAACACAAGTGTAATTTACATCCTGTTAGGTCATTTTAACTTTTTTTTAAAAAAAAAGAAAAGAAAAGAAATATGAACAAAACGTTTGTTTTCTTTTTTTCGTTCTTCTTTTTTTAAATATTTTGTCAATCATACAAGAATTCATGTTTACTTAAATGTTTTATGCTTTTAATGGATTACTTATCCCCTATATTGTTGATATTTGAAAAAAGAATCATCATTTAAAATCTATTTCATTTGTTATATAAGTTGACCTGAATTTATCTAACGAATTTAGTTTAGGACAACCAACGTAGTTTAGTTTACTAGATATATATGCATCTCTAAAGTGATGTTACATTAAAGAGATCACGTGGGTCAAATTGTTTTCTGTTTTTTTTGGGGGGGAGATTAGATATCATCAATAAACCATGTATTAATTGAAATCATGAATCAAATGAAGCTAGACCATCATGGAAAACCTGGAAGTACTAGATGGCTGTTTCGTCCTAGTATGGAACTCCTTAGAAGCGCTCATCCACCATCCTGCCTCGCGAGGTTCAAACCCAGGACTTATCAGTACCGTGCATGAATGTTTAACCTCTAGATTATTGAACCGGCATCTATTGGTGTTAATGTTTAACTTTAATCATTCCATAAACAATGGATTGTTTGATGTAAGCGTAAAATAATCACATATCATAGATAATTGCCTGTTTCATTTATTATAGTTGAAACAAACTTCTTTTTTGTTTGTGAAAAACATTTAACTTTAACAAGTAAAATAAAAAAAACTTAGTTAAGATTATATATTAGAAAATAGTAACTACAAAACATTGAGTGAACTACAACAATTCACAGTTCGTCCGAAGTTTATATTTCAAAGAATCATCTACTGTTTCAGAGTCTATGTAAAGATCTAGTGTATTTTGATGTAATTTTCACCAACTAGTGAGTTCATAAACAAAAAGATCGATAAATAGATACTTCCTTAAAGTGTTGGTTTCCTTAGTTTAGAACCAAGTGTCTTCAGATATCATGGTCAGAATGGTTCTAGGTGAAACAATGAATTTTTAGGCAGTGGCCTGTACTTCTTTGATAAGTCAATCAAATTGTAGCACTATTCTTATCCTTTATCAACAATGGGTTATTCCTTTATTCCAAATTTAAGTATCTCAACAGTTTATGGATTTAAAAATCCGACTAACTGGATTCTGGTACAGTAGACCAGTACTGATATACTTATCTTAAGTACACTATAATAGCATAAGAAGAAGTTCGTTCATTTTTCAAACGTTTATATACTTAACTCATTTCATATTTACTTACTTACACCTTTCACTCTTCTTGGAGGAGCATAGGCTTTCCATAAACACTCTCCATCTAACCCTGTCATGGGCAACCCTCTCCAGTCCTTTCCAGTTGTTATTCATCCTTTTCATGTCTGCTTCCAATTCTAAACGCAGTGTGCTCATCGGTCTTACTCTTTTCTGCTCCCCTTCAGTATTTCAAATCAGAACTTGCTTTGAGATGCAGTTTGATAATTTCCATAATGCAAGTTCTATCTACTTCCTAGTTCTTTTATATTCAACTAATCATTTTTATCACTGGTTAGATATGATAATGAGTTAATTTCCAAGGAAATACTTAAAGATTTATTACGTTGATGCTTTTAATCAAACAGGTTTTTGAGGTTTTCCATGGTGGTCTAGATTCAACTGACTCATGATCTTAACCATTGAAATTACTATAATATCCACAAAACCCATCTGATAGATTTTAATGAGATACATATTTTTGTTACAAAAATTATTTAATAAAATAATAACTTACTTGTCACAACCAGATGAGTTCTTTGATTTGATGAAATTGTTTTATCGAATAAACTTACTGAACAATAATACTGTCCAGTGTCAGTAAGTTGAAGTGAATGAATAAGCAAGATAACAGCACTTGGTTTGTATTTCTTTAAATGTTCTTGTCTAAAATGAGGTTTCTGTGAATGTATTTCCCATGGTAAACCAGAATCATCACCACCCATATAAATTAAACGATATCTGTCAGCTGAATAGAGGTACATTTTCAAAAAAAAAAAGTTTCTTTGATAAAGTCAACGAACTGTTGTTTTGAAAAAGTGTTTAAATCTGCTAACTCTATTGATAGTATCAATGGCATAGTAAAACATTGCTTGAACGTTCCCAGTCCTTATAATTTACTGATCATACCCTGTATATAACGATATATATACAATATCTGCGGAGTATATTTATGTTACTACTAGTCGATATCATGTGAAAATCGGTCTTTTGTATGGTTGATATTTGAACTGAGCTATTAAGATTACTAAAATAAATGACTCTCCAGATATCTCATTTTGATTTTAATATTCAAACGACTATACAATGGCAAATGGTGTGACTATGAGCACATTATCAACATTAAATCAACAATGATTTAGAAAATTCTGACTTCCGATAAATATTTAAGATTGTTTTAAACAATGAAGACAAAGATGTGCCCAGTACGTAATATATATTATGAATATTAATTCAAGTACCATTTTATAAAATAAAAAATTATGATCTCAGGTCTTTAACAGACTCTATTCATAATCCCTCGGAATAATGTATCTGACTAAACTGTTTGTCACTTATACGCTTGAACTCTGGAGGTGCGTAGGACATACGTTGTTGAAATTATCAAACTATATTACTTAGTAAGTTCTAACTTTGAATCCTGACAGAAAGAGGAAAAGTGACCGACCGAAGAACAAACTAACTAAAGAATTGAAGGTAGGCATCAAAACAATGAACAGTTGGAAAGGAAAGAGGAGAATAAAGTTGGATGAAGAATCCTGGTCAGCAACCTATGCTCAACAAGGGGCAACAGGTGTGAGTACGTAAGTACTCAAATTCTTGAATAATACACATTATCAAATCACTTTACATAATTTCATCACGTAATCTTTTATACATTACTACCGATGAATTAACTACTTCTATTAATCCAGTGTTCATCTTGTTGTGCTAATGAGTTATGGCAACTTAGACCAATGCACATATGTGTGCCTGGTCCTACGTCGCAGCGGACGGACTGAATCCATTAGTGAACGTTTGATTTATATATGAATTATACTAAAATTTATGTAGTTCGAGGTAAATAATATTTATTTTGGTTACTAATCTTTCTATCTTCCAGTCTATTATCTGACTAGAATCTATTTTGAAAAATATTCCACTTCCAAATATCTGTGTAATATAGTAGAAAAAAAAGTAATGTGTCAGCTGTTGTATTAGGTCATATTGTTGAGACCATAATTTATGGACGACCTACGAGCGATGCTAAAGTGACCTCGAGAATGTTCACTTAATAATTAGGATCAAATGAGGGTTATAAACCAGAGTGAAGAATTCGAAGTATGATTTACAGTTGATACTTAAGATTAGGAATTATATTTAGGGTTTTCAACACGAACTGACATCAGCTATTTATCAGCTATTTATCCATATGGATGGGTGAATTTCACGCCAAACTCCGTGACCTGCTATCTTATAACTGATTGGTTTGTAAATAAATTATAATCTCGCCGGTCATAATTGTGAAAATACAGCTCAACAACTCAAGAACGTAATCTTTAGTTGGAAAGCTAAATCATTAACTGAATTAAGATTATTTGAATAAAAGTTATTTCCTTAAGATAATATCACATCAATAAAGTATCATTTGAATTCACTTACTTTGTGTTAAATCTAATCTTATATTGTTATGATAAAAGTATACTGTAGGTAATGATGGTTGTGACAATGGTAAATGACAAATAACCATTGCTGTATTTCCAATAAGGAGTGATAAATATTTATCTGAATGAGGTGGGAAAGCTGGAAGTACTGTAATTAAAAAAAAAGTATAAACAAAATATGACAGATTATAAGACAAACAAAGTGTTCTTGGTAAAATAGAAATTAAGACATAATATTTTATTGATTACATCATGGATTAATCTATCTTACCCCTTGGTTAGTATGTAATCTCATTTGTTATTTGGTCTCGAATCCATTTTATGATCCTCCTGTAGACCTATATTTTCCATATATAACTATATATACGACTGTACAGCTTAAGTAGATGATTTCGTCGAAAAGAAAATTTTCTTCGCTGAATTCGCTTTTTCTTATTAAACGTGGAAACCTTTTTCAATAATGTGTATTTTTGACTTTTTCGGTGATTGAATAAAGAATCCTGAAGTCTCTAAGTGAATCCTTTAATTTATAGACCACTATACTGGGACCTAATCGTTAACATATTCAACTTTAGTCAGCTCATGATATTTCCAGAACTATCTTTCGATCCTATTTGTAGATGAGAGTCTCATATCCATAATAGTTTGTTGCTAGAACTCATGCTACTTAACATGTGAACCATTGAATCCAAAAACAAACATAGATATAAAAAAGACAATTTTACTTAGAGGTGACATGTTAACAAACGTTTCTATTTCTTTTCATAAGTTTCTAACAATCGATGATATTACACCACTGTCCACCATTGTTTTCAGTGAGTAATTGCCTCACGACGAAAACGGTTGAATTACACTAGTCACAGCTTCCTGCTTGAACTCCGGGGAATCCATTTTGAAGTTAATAATTAGTTAGCACATGATAATTATTAGTATAAGGTTATGGAGACCGCTGAGTTTAGACTGATATCATGAATATCATTGAATAGTTAAATAATTATCTCATGAAATATGTTATACCATGCGAACGTTTTTATGTACAACTCACTGAATTTCGTTGTACACTTTCTAGACAGAATGAAACAATGATTAATAGGAAGAAGTAGTTGCTCAATTGTCAAATACTTTACTGATCATTCATCTTAATATAAATCAGTTCTTTGTACATCTTAAATAATCACTTATTAGTCTCAGAAGGGTTTGTGAATATTATAGTGAATTAATAGTTCACATCATGAATCAATGGAAGCGAAACCACCATGGAAAACCTGGAAGCACTGGATGGTCATTTCATCCTAGTGTGGGACTTCTCAGTAGTGCTCATCCACGATCCCACCTGCGGGATTCGAACCAAGGGCCAACCAGTCTCGTGCACGAACGCTTAACTATTAGAGCACTAAGCCGGCATCTAATGGTGTTCGATGTCTAACTTCAACTAATCTACGAAATTGAGCCACCGTTTACCATTGCCTTCAGTGAGTTACAATCTCACAACAGACCTAGGTGAACTCCACTGGTCACTCCCTATCACTAGAACTCCAGGAAACATCTCTCGAATCCAGTCATTAGTGAGCATACGTTGACTCGTATCAAAAGGGGTTTTGTGAATAATATAGTAATTTTTTATAGTTGAGATCATGAGTCAATTGAAGCTATACGCCCATAGGAAACCTAAAACAACTATTAAAATTATTTATTATATGAGTGGATCAACTGAAAGTAGTATAGTAAGCAAATAATTTTTATCAGTGTGGGAATTAATAGAATTTGTAATATTTTCACAATTGAATTCACTAATTAGTCTATAGATTAAACGTTCGTGCACGAAATCGAAGACTCTCAGGTTCGAGTGAATGCTCACTGCTGAGAAGTTCCATATTAGAACGAAATGACTTTCAAGTGCTTCCAGATTTTCAATAATGATCTAGCTTAGATCAATTGGTGAATTCAACTATGAAAATCATTTTTATTTCAATTTAATGAGAATAGTTTTTTTTTTTTTCAACCTCCATTGATTTTTCAACAAATGATATAAATCATCAGAGGTACTAAGCCACAATCTATTTTTGGAGGTTGTTAAGTAACAAAATTTACTTTCTTAGCTGTCAGTAAACTTTTATATGAAATTCATTATTATTTTTATGATCTAAACCCTTTTAGACATTCACTTTTTTTTTTGTTGTTTTATATAGAAAAACAAAAATCCAAGTTAAAGTGTATTGTCACAACTAAAAAACAAACACATCTACTTTTTCATAACCGTTTAAACAAAATTCACTTATTGAATAAAAGGGTACAAATTTTGTGAGGTGCGGGGGTGAGTGGGTTTCTTTTTTTTGTTTTTGTGTATAGATGTAAACATCCATAATGTCAAGCTGTTCTCTCCAGGATTTTTTTTTTCTTTTTCTTTTTCTTTAGATAACTATAAGCTATAACACCAACTTCATACCGCATTGAAAATAAAAATTGAATATAATTTTTATTGTTTCTTTTTTTCTTCTTATTTTATATTATTTATTTATCACACGATAACTAGTAACTTTATAAGACAAGAAAAAGAAAAGAAAAAGAAAATTGAGACATTTGATTTCTTTTTTACTGTTTTTCTCTCTGCTCAATTTTGTTTCTATTTTATTCTTTGAGAAATAAAATTAAGTAGCAGTAGATGAGAACGAAGAAGAAGAAGAAGAAAAAGAAAAAGAAAAAGAAAGATGATATTGTTTCTTATTTAAATTTGATAAAATACAATTTTTTTGTCTGGTTTTTTTATTTCGAAGAAGAATAATGCTTACAATAACTTATCGATAACTTTGACTGATAATAGATATTGGTGAATGATATAATAAACAAATCAGTAGTTTAACATTAACTGATCATTGAAGAATGACCAATACTATATTTATCTAGTTCTTTATTGCTGATCGAATTTCGTCAAGCTAGTTACAATGTGGACATTAAGTGAATCGACTTTATGTCAGTCAGTCAGTCAGTCAGTCAGCTACAACGTAGGACCAGGCATATAAATGCGTCGGTTTAAGTTGCCATACAGCATTAGAACAGCAAGATGAACAGCGGATTCATGAGAGTAGTTAAGTCAATGGTGGTAATATATAAAAGAAAGATTGCATATAAGGATATAGTACAGGAAGAAAGAATTAGTTCATAGAAAGGAAGATATAAAGTGATTTGAATCTCTTAGTTTAAAAGACAGAAGGTGTATACACCGACGCCATTGTGATCGATTCTGAGCCATGTCACCAAGAGTCTCCTACCATTGGTTACGATAGTCACCCGGACCCCAACCAAGTAGTCTGAATCTACCATGTGTGCAGTATATATGCAGTATATTGCTTCAAAGTTTTCTGTTAACTACCTCCGAATACTTGATACCTCAATGAAATAGCAGAGTATTTTCGATTACTTAAACTGTTGGCCATATCGCAACCTACTAAATAGAACTTGATCAGTATTGAGGGACTTAGCTAGTATGACACTAGTCAGTGATTGATCGACTATGAATATTTCACTTGTACAGTAGATCTGTCACCGGTTAGTGGTAACATCTAAGAATGTGAACCTGGATGATAGAGGTTTGAACAGAAATATTGAACAAATATTAACTATCCTATCATAAGAATATATCGTGTCTATGGGAACAAATTTAAAAAGGTGTTTATAATTTGTCCAATCGTTAATGTTTGTAACATCTTACAATATTAAAGATCATCAATGATAACCTTCATACATAAATTGGCTATAAACAAATGTCTGATCTCTAGATAATAAGCTGTTATAATAACATAAAGTGTAAAGAATATAGAGTAAGGATAAGCCAATAGGAATTCTAGAATGTTACATTATAGCTTTTGATCAGAAACTGCCCAAAAATGTTAGGAAGAATCAATTTTGTTATCATAGTATAAAATGACATTATTAAACTTCTTCATGGCTCCATTTATTTTTTGCATAGTTGTTACATAACACATGAAGCAATCAGTTCTTATTTCAGTTTACTATGTCTGTTATAAACTCATAAATAAATAAATTTATTAATGATTCACTGAATTATAGGGGGTTTTAGGAAAATAGAAATATTAAAATAGATAATGAATTCTACTCATGACATCTTCATATTCATATGGCGACAACGATGAATCTGTTGTTATTTGATTACCATAACTCTTAAGAGAATTAGTAAATAAAATTTTTGTAATCGATGATTAACTTTAGATTGTCCAGGAAACCCTGGACCTGGGTTTCGTGCTACTTGACACTCGTCAGCAAGGTGTATCTGTAATCTTAGCACGAAACCCGGGTCCAGGGTTTCCTGTCGACTAACTCCAACCACCATCTAATCTCACAATAGTGCCCGCATTGTCGAGTCACTTAGACTGGTAGCCACATTGTAACATGGTCGATGGCATTCAATCCGCACTAATAAAGACTAGACAAGCATGACAATGATCACCACCCAGTGATCAGTCAATTGTGTTGATTAACTTTCTATAAAATTATGTCCATTAGAAAGATATGGAAGGAAACCGTTTAACTTGAGTATATTAGCACTTATATTAGTGAGATTATGTAAAGGTAGTTCTACGAAATTCTTATAAGGAAACAATAAACTTCTTGAAACCATTAAACTTTTCCGTGAAATACTTTGAATTTGTTCAGAAGAAGTAGTTTCAAAATAACTCCGTCATTTGAAGAATCGCTCAAATTTATATACATATACAACAAATTCACTGTATTCAGTCCATTTTTTTTCAACTTTACTAGTTTACATGCATTTTGTATTGTTCATTTGAATCTTCCCAATGATGTTTAGGACTGCAATTGATCAGTTTCCTATCGGTATATGTGCACTTTGTACGGATTACCTCGATATTGCCTTAAGTCACAAACATTTTAAGCAAAGATGAATGGTAGCTAGTAGTAGAGAGACCGATCAATTACAGTCGTGAACATTAATGGAAAGATTCAAATAAACAAACCCAAATAAATTTAAACTTCACTCTATTGCATAAGCAAGTGGCTAGCAGGGCACAGTCGTAAAGTGGATAACGTGACAGTGTTTGAAGCTGGCGGTTCTGGGCTCGAGTCCCAGAAAGAACATCAACGCGCGTTCTCGATTCTACTATTAATCATCAT